AAAAGAGGGGGGGTGGGACGGATAACAGACATAACAGAGTACAGCTTTATAATAGAAAGCAGGTTCGCAAGTTTGCGGGATAAACCTTTTAACACGATTATTCTGTCAAAGAGTCTCTTCAGTTACATTATGTATTAACCATAACAATCGTTTTTCGGGAGACGGTCTTTAGGGTCACGCGGCAGCGCGCGCAGCTAACCGCAAATAGCGGGTGTTTGGCGGCTAATGCCGTTTGGACTCCAGAAATTTCGGCTGCGAGCTCATTTTAAAAGTGGCAAGATCACCAAATCCGCTAAAAACTTGTATAGGGGTAATTCAACATCCTGATCACGAATATGACATTCATTTTTGGCGCTGGCGCTAATGGATGACACTACGGTTACCTGCGCTCTGCTAAGGCTGAGCCCAGGAGGTAATCGTAGTGTCCTCTCTTGGCGCCAGCGCCAAGAATGAGTGTCATACTCGTAATCAGGATGTTGAATTACCCCTATATACAAGTTTTTAGTGGATTTGGTGACTTAGGCAATTTGAAAATGAGCTCGCAGCCGAAATTTCTGGAGTCCAACCGGCATTAGCCGTGTTTGGCATGCAGCGTATGCTCGCAATTTTCTACCGTGTCATTGCTTTACTGTATTGAATAGTATTCGTTTCTGTTTTCGTCATGCTCGTCCGCTCTATTAAGACTTGAACTGGCGTGACCTTTAGATTTCGTTCCACTTGTATTACTATAAAGTTCACCTAGTAATTATGTAGCAGGGAAACTCGCAAAGATTTAGCTCACTAGTTCACTGAATATTAGCTAATCCCTAACCATTTAACAGCTGCAATGTTTTCTGGGCAGCCCACCTGAGAGGCAATCCTAAAGCAGTCGCGAGCGCGCGCTCTATTGCGAGCAGGGGGTAGCAGCGGGGTATTTGCAATTCGACGCGCGCGACGCCACGTGGTCCTACCGTCGCATTCTCTTTTTTCTTTGTGCCAGCGTTCCTTTCCGACTGTTACCGGATACGCATCCCGCTTCGTTCGCGGTTGAAAGTGTTTCTAAGTAGAGTTTCTAAAGTTGCATCGTTTGCAGAAACAGTCAAGGGTCAATCGGCTTTCTGGACCAAAGATGATCCCATCAGCTGGCCCGAATATGGCAGCACAAGGTCTTCGTTGAATATACCAATAGGATACCATACTACGTAGAAATCATTTGCTGAATATTGTACAAAAGGTAATGTAATTTTTTAGAAAAAAACTCGGAGAACTTTCACAAGTTCGAGAGTCCTTGATTAAAAAAAATTAGGACATTTTGAATTCGCTGGCTTCTCCTGAAATAAGCCATCAGTGCCTCTTTGTAGTACACAAAATTAAAATCTCAGGTAGGTCTAAGGTAGCGCAACTGCGGAATCAAAAAGCGTCCAGAAAGGCAGCCCAAAAGTGCTGATGGCAGCTGCTCCATTAGAAAAACTTGTTTACCTTGGATAGTAATCTGATCAGATTTTTCATCCCCACGAGGAAGGCTTATTTGAACGTCATGCTTGGCGCGTAGTGCATTCACTGTAGCTCCTTTGGGTCCAATAACACGTTGATGGTATTCAGCCGGAACATCGATTACTAGTTGGAAAGAGCGCAACCTCTATAAACGAAGTGTTTGCGGAATGCATTCTGGTCAAAGAAAAATCTGCTACTTACCCTGTCTTCAGCCAAAGCTTCGAACTCAGCAATCTTCTCTCTGATCTTTTCAAGCGCTTCTTCTACATTCTCCGATGGACCAGTAACAGTGATTTCATCACTCTCGTTATTTTTCGGGATTGAGATATTGACGTCGTAGTCTTGCATAAGCTTTCGCACCTAGAACTGAGCCACTAAGTGCGAAATGTTATGATGGTTTTCAGATTTGGAATTTCTCCACTCCACCTAAATAAAAACATTGAAATTTTACCGTTTCTCCTCCACGTCCAATCAGACCGCGATGCATCTCGATGGGTACGTTGATGACCTTCGATACTGGAACCATGGATAGAAGTTCAGTCTTCGCAGCCTCGCACTTGGTGTCACGACCCGATATGGTGACCATGTCTGCTGCATGCGGATCTGCTTCCTCCGAACCCTCTGAGCAGTGTTTGCATGATATTTCGCAGATCATACGGAGAAATAATTAACTCACCGGCTCGGCGATCGGGGAAACGAATAAGAACGCCGTGCTTCGACTGCAGGTCATGAATCCTCTGTCCACGATTGGCAAGAAGTGCGCGATGGAATTGTGATGGAATCTCCACTTGCATGTTTACTTGTTTTTCCTTCATCGAGCGAGGTTTAACAGGCGTAAAAGAGATCTTAGAGGCAAAAACTCACGATGTCCTCAATAATTTCTTCGATGCGAGCTTTCGCCGACTCAACACATTGTTTTGAACCCTTGATGTGAACCGTTGTGGAATCCGCTCCCATCTGAACCATACCTCACCATAACAAAAAACAACAACAACAACAAGAAAACACCAAAAATACTTGTAGGAAATATCTATACCTTCGGGAAAGATATCGTTACGCCACCATTTTGCTCCTGAATTTCCCGTAACACTGCAGCATTTCGCATGACGAAATGTCTGTGGTGCTTAGTATCGACCTCGAGCTAGAAACAGCGTACTTCAAGGGGTACCAGAAACGAATTAGGATAGATTGATTCCCTACCGTAGCCTCAATCGTCTCGTTCAGCTGTTTAACATTCTCTTCCAACTCCTTCTTCACCTTCAGCACATCTTCCTTTTTACCTAACAAGTGAATGGTCTCTTTGTCTTCATCCGTCTCCCTTGGGAACATGACTCGTACATCATAATGTTCGCGAATCTGAAACAGAAAGCAGTTTACGGAATCGGAAGGGATTAGGCAACATTCAGACTTCGCGATGACGCGCGTGGACGCGCTACAACAGCGCTAGAGACGTGCACGCAACCACAGACGGCCATCGACTGATGCCAATCTGCGTGACTAGGCAACAATTATTCCCATACTGTCTAGAAACACAAGCGGCCGGCGCCCGTCGATGGAGCGTTCGCAGCTGGGAATCGATCGCACCGGGCGTCTGCGGGTGGGTAGGTGTCTATAGCTCTGGATGGCTGTTGTAATTGTAGCGCGTCGACGTGAGTTACAGCGCATTACAAGCGCGTCATCGCGAGGTCTGAACGCTCCTTTAGAGGTGGAGCTCGAGAAGCTTACCTTATTGATCTTGCCGCCGCCCTTTCCAATCAAGAAGCGGTGGAACTCTGGCCTAGCAACGACCTTGTCTTCATGGAGATTTATCTCCTTATCTCTAGCTAGTTCAGTGAGATGTTTACGTGCTTTTTCAACGTCACCCTTGGGGCCACGAATCGTCACCTAAAAATAATGAATAAACTGGTGAGGCCCGTCTCCAGCATGCCATAAACAGAATGTGTTGAAAATGCAGTGTCGAAGGCAAAACGATACAGAATACTTTACCTTGGTGCTTTCACTCTTCTCCGCTGGGAATTTGATATGAACTCCACCGCATTCTTCTTCAATGTCAGAAATAAGACGTCGGCCATTACCGAGAAGACGAGATTGCACTTTCACTGGGATATCTACCTCGACTGTCTCAATGTTCGCCTGAAAATTGGTCATTGTAAAAATGAAATATTAAAAATATTGAGATAGTAAGTTTGCCAACTTACGAGCTCGTTTTGTATCTTGTTGAGCTGATCAATGGCCTTTTCCACATTCGCTTTCTTTCCGGTAACAGTAATGCGCTCTTCACCAGAATCGCCCTGTAAATAGCTTATCAT